GGGCCGCGCCGCGCCGCCGTGCAGTGGGGGCGGCCTGTGAGGGGCTCCGGCAGCCCAAGATGGCGGAGCCCCTGGCAGCACCCGTGAGGGCGAGACCCGGGGCCGCGGGGACCGTGTCTCCGCACCTCTGCTCCCTTCGCTCTTGCGGGGAGAAACAACGAGCCTCGCCTCGCCGGCGGGGCCGTAGGGCCCCACGAGGGGCTGAGGGACGGGGGGACACTTAAGGGAGACCTAGCTACCATTCCCCTGAGGCAGAGATACAGTCAAGGATCAGCTCATGGGAGCACTGTTTTACAAAGGAGTCTAAAATAGAATAAAATAAAATCAGATTGACCAATGTCTGATTTCCGAGAAGAAAAAAAAAAACCTAGAAGAGATTCCAAGGAGATTCTGTCAGACCAGTGTTGTCACAAAAGTGAGGGCTCTTCTACCTGGTGTGGAACGAGGTAGGCAGTAATTCCACAAAGCTATCACGCCACGCACAGGCACATGACATATGTACTCACTTTCAGACTACACAAATATGTGTTTTAATGCAATGACCACTGGTTAGTTTCGTATCACTTTCTCCTCATGGGTTAACAACATGCCCCTCTCCTTCATTTTAACTGTACTAATTGAGGAAGGGGCTTTTCTTGGTAGGGAGCTTTTTCCTACTCAAGGGCCTATTTTTACTACATTGCTGAGGAAAGCTCACTCACAGTTCAAGTATTTATCTCCCCTGACCAATTAGCAGCTTTTGTTTCTGTGTGCTTATCTTGGTGTTTCCCTACTTGATAGTTCTGTGGTGTCATCCCTTGCACTTACCTTGGTTTTTCTGTGTTTTAATGGTAGTGTTGCTTCTTTTGGTTCATTCTGTCAGCTTCACCAGTTCCTTCAACAATTCCTGGCATTCTTTCACAACAGTCTTTTGGTCATTTTATTAATTAAGACGTAACATCTGGACCTCAGGGAGTCGAGCTGCTTTGCTTAGCCCTGTCCTGAGTGGAGGCTTAGTGTCAGGGGTTGGAGGCTTATTAACAGCTGATATTTACGCATGGCTTTTTGATTTTTAACCTTCCTCCCCTTCTCGCCCTGCTGTTCTTTTTAGATAATATATTTTCATTTAGGAAGGTTACTTTCAGCACATTCTCATGGTGGCCATGGATTCTTAAGGTGAAGTCGCTGTAGATTAGTTTAAGAAGGGTGCTTATTACAAAATCTCGTGTTTTCAGGAAATCTTGGCATAGCATCCTTACTTTGAAGCATCTAAAACAGGGGACAGAGCTATGGCTTTGCTTGGCTTGGACCTCTGCTGCCTGCAGAGCACCCAGCACTTCTTCCTGTAATAGCCACTTCCTCTTCATCTGCAGCAATGATACGGATTTTAGAGTGTTTCAGTCAGCTGAAATGTACTCAAATGACATCAGAGCACCTCAGACTCCACAGGCTTAAGTGCTATAACAAAAAACGTTAAGGAAACATAGGCAATTTTGTATTGCTTTCAAATACTGGTTATGTGGGGGTGAAGGATGGTTGGGAGAACATCATCACATTATTTGACCATAAATGTAGGAGCTTAAAAAATGATGCAAATATTTTTATATTTTTAAAATATTAAAATGGGAAGGTGTAGTAAATATGAACTCAAATACAGAATCAGGCCTAGACCTGAGTAATTTATTTGCTGTCTAAAAGTAAAATATGAGCAGCATAAATATTGGCAAAAACATTTCTTGAACAGATATATTTAATAATATATGTATGATGTTGTGTAGTAATACAACGTTCAATAATAAAAAGGATATTTGTTCTTAAATACTAAATTTTAGATTTGCAGTATCTCCTAAAATCTTTTTGTGTGGACGAGTTACAACTTGGTAAGAGACAGCACATCGCAAAACTTACAGATAAATTATTTAACGCCAAAATGAACAAACCCCTGTACTGCTACCGTTGAAAAGATTATTTCAAAAGCAATCAAAACTATAGAATTGTCTCTTTTGCCAGAAGATGGCAGCAGCGAAACACGCTGTGCTGAGGAGAAAGTAATGCTGCCAGATACCCTGCTCACACCTCTTGGTTTATAGATAACAGGATTTACGGCGTAAAATACAAAACTAAATGACTGTTTTACTGGCTTCACTCTTGTGCAGCGTAATTAAAGATGTGTGATTGAACTCAACCGGACTCTAAACCAGTGTAAATTAATTTCACTGTGCTTTAATGATTATCACCAAGTGTATGAATGGATGTTTCTGCTTCATTTGAAGTTTGTTGGAAAAAATGTGGTCGGAAAGTTCAACTGGAATTGCAGTGTCGTTCAGCTTATATTTCACTTAGGAAAACTAAAAATTAAAATAAAATCAAAATGAAATCAAAATGGAAATAAAAATTTTAAAAATTCAAAATTTAAGAAAATAAAATCTAAGAAAAAGCTATTCAGAATTTTTAAAAGGAGAAGAGAGTAAAAAAGAGTGAGAAAAAAAAAGGTAAATGAAAATAAAAAGAAGTGAGGAAGGAGAAAGAGGTGATATTTTAAGGAAAATATTTCACAATCTGTAACACGTCTACACCATTTACTTGTACCAGCTGCTCTAGGAAAACCCATCTAACTTGTGATACAGCACTGACCTTACTGTAAAATGTCTGGGTTTGTTTGTATTTGGTGTACATTAAATCAACTCTATTCACTGTACAGTATTTACTAACTTTGCAAACTCCCAACTAATTTTAAAATCAAATTGTATGAAAGCCACACATTTACATCCAGAGTTCAAAATATATCATTTGAATTCAAGGCCTAATAGATTTCCATAAGACCACATTAAGTGAAGAGCTATCAGGTCTCATTACAAAATCATGCCAATATAGGACTCTCAGCTTTGAGAATTAAAATTTCTTTGTGCAGTTTTCTGCTGTATTAATTTCACCTGGACTGATACAACAAAGCAGTAGACTTATTAGCGCTCCAGTAAAGCAAGCTTAGAAATTGTATATTCAGAAATTTAATGTGTGAAAATTAAAAAAAAAAAAAAAAAAAAAAGTTGACATTAAATTAGAATACCTGTGAAAATAACTGAAGTACTGATTCAAATTGGAAAATGGCAGGAAAACTGAATCTAGGCCTTGGCTTTTGATACTTTTTCTACTTTTGTGGCCTTATTATTAAAATAGTTATCTTTTTAGGAGGGTAAGAAAAATGACTGATATTTCATGTAAAGGAGACGTTTTGGCTTGTTTCTATATCCATAATGGCTTCATGTACAGCCACTACAGTATGTAGTCCAGTAGTCTTCATGGTGCCAAGAGCTCTTCCCCTATCTACGAGACATGCTTCTGCTTCTTCCAGAACAGATGCATGTTTGCTATGAGAAAATCTTTACTCACAGCAGAAATCCTACTGGCCTTTTGTAGACTGGAAGCACAATGCACAGTGACAGCCTTGTCCCACCTGTGTCCCAGGGTGCAGGTCCTCTCCAAGTGCCCCTCTTGCCACCATTTCTTCATACCTTCAACTGTGGAAATAATTCATTCAGATTAATCAGGTTCCGTTTGTTCTCTACTAACAGGCAGGTTTTTTGAGTAAAACACAGTAAGGTTGTATCTGGTCAAATGTAGAAGACATCCAGTTCCAATGCTCATAGTTACAGATGCTGGTATCCCAGGTATTCTAGGTAAAACCTGAAACCAATGTTCACTCCTTGACATCAGATGAGCATTGGACTCCTACTAGGAATCCTTTGGCCTTCTAAAGAAGTGAGATGCTGGGTGATCTTTTTCTCCCTTTTTTTGGTCTAATAAAACTAGATCGGTCTTTCTGCTTCTTTGTAACAAACATACCAATGATAACTATGTCTCATATTTCCCCTGCATCTCAGATTTACCCCTATTTCTCTTTGCTGAAAAGTTTTAGCATGCTTATAGCTGAGTCAAGAATATTTTGTTATCTCACATCATGAAAAGTGGTAGGTGTGTATAACATTCGATTAAACTTGGATCTTTCCTGTGTTCTTTTCATAGAGTTCATATATGCCATTTTGGGGGGCACATTATTAACCCAAGTGCCATATCTGGGATTAAGATATTTTCCAAACCATTCCCTTTAGGATAAACTGTCCCCCTTTCACAGTGTTGCACTAGATTGCTCCTATTTTTCAGTAAAATTTGCACTTAAAAACATAAAACCATTGTTTGGTTTTAATTTAAAATCTTTTTTGGATACTGGTCTCAGAAAAAGATTTGCTGTTTGCAGTTGTGCAGATCTGTGACTCCCACTCTGGTCTCAACTCTTAGTCTTGTGACTGAGCTGTGAGATGGGGATTCAGACCTTCTGCCTTCTATTCTTTAGTTAAGGTAAAACATGAAGCAGCAGTAATTTAAAAAGACAAATAAAATGTTAACAATTTCATACACCAAGGAGAAGGGGTGATAAACTGAAAAAATTAAAATCACATGTCCTTAACTGTCCTTATGAGCAGCTTTAATATAACTGAACATCACCAAGCTATTCTACTAGATAAAACTTTTTTGCCCATATATGGAATTTTCCAGAATTCAAAAGGCTTTTGTGGTAACTTTTTTCCCCACTAACAAAAAACTATTATGGTTCATTTTAGTGCACATTTCAGAATTTAAAGTCTGAGACTGTGGTTTATTTGAGATACTTTTGTAATAATGGAATTCCAATTTCTGAAGAGCATTTTTTCCCTATAGATATCACTGATATTTTTTCCCTGATAATAGTCTTTTCTGTGCCTGTAACAGCAGACTCTGGTTATATTTACATAATACCTATACAATGAAAAGCTATATTTCATCATTTATGATATTTTAAAAATAATTAGCACTAAAAAAAAATCCTTCCTGATTCTCTTAGCAGAAAAAGTAGTGATTTGCACATTACAGACACCAAACTGTTCCTCTATCTTCTCTGTGAGCAGAGTCCTCCATGCCATGG